GCCTCATCATGTGTCCACTGTTAACATGTAGATAACATGGCCTCATCATGTGTCCACTGTTAACATGTAGATAACATGGCCTCATCATGTGTCCACTGTTAACATGTAGATAACATGGCCTCATCTGTTAACATGTAGATAACATGGCCTCATCATGTGTCCACTGTTAACATGTAGATAACATGGCCTCATCATGTGTCCACTGTTAACGTGTAGATAACATGGCCTTAACATGTAGATAACATGTCCACTGTTAACATGTAGATAACATGACCTCATGATGTGTCCACTGTTAACATGTAGATAACATGTCCACTGTTAACATGTAGATAACATGGCCTCATCATGTGTTCACTGTTAACATGTAGATAACATGGCCTCATGATGTGTCCACTGTTAACATGTAGATAACATGGCCTCATCATGTGTCCACTGTTAACGTGTAGATAACATGGCCTCATCATGTGTCCACTGTTAACATGTAGATAACATGACCTCATCATGTGTCCACTGTTAACATGTAGATAACATGGCCTCATTATGTGTCCACTGTTAACATGTAGATAACATGGCCTCATCATGTGTCCACTGTTAACATGTAGATAACATGGCCTCATCATGTGTCCACTGTTAACATGTAGATAACATGGCCTCATCATGTGTCCACTGTTAACATGTAGATAACATGGCCTCATCATGTGTCCACTGTTAACATGTAGATAACATGTCCACTGTTAACATGTAGATAACATGGCCTCATCATGTGTCCACTGTTAACATGTAGATAACATGGCCTCATCATGTGTCCACTGTTAACATGTAGATAACATGGCCTCATCATGTGTCCACTGTTAACATGTAGATAACATGGCCTCATCATGTGTCCACTGTTAACATGTAGATAACATGGCCTCATCATGTGTCCACTGTTAACATGTAGATAACATGGCCTCATCATGTGTCCACTGTTAACATGTAGATAACATGGCCTCATCATGTGTCCACTGTTAACATGTAGATAACATGGCCTCATCATGTGTCCACTGTTAACATGTAGATAACATGGCCTCATCATGTGTCCACTGTTAACATGTAGATAACATGGCCTCATCATGTGTCCACTGTTAACATGTAGATAACATGGCCTCATCATGTGTCCACTGTTAACATGTAGATAACATGGCCTCATCATGTGTCCACTGTTAACATGTAGATAACATGGCCTCCATGTGTCCACTGTTAACATGTAGATAACATGACATGTAGATAACTCATCATGTGTCCACTGTTAACATGTAGATAACATGGCCTCATCATGTGTCCACTGTTAACATGTAGATAACATGGCCTCATCATGTGTCCACTGTTAACATGTAGATAACATGGCCTCATCATGTGTCCACTGTTAACATGTAGATAACATGGCCTCATGATGTGTCCACTGTTAACATGTAGATAACATGGCCTCATCATGTGTCCACTGTTAACATGTAGATAACATGTCCACTGTTAACATGTAGATAACATGGCCTCATCATGTGTCCACTGTTAACATGTAGATAACATGGCCTCATCATGTGTCCACTGTTAACATGTAGATAACATGGCCTCATCATGTGTCCACTGTTAACGTGTAGATAACATGGCCTCATCATGTGTCCACTGTTAACATGTAGATAACATGGCCTCATCATGTGTCCACTGTTAACATGTAGATAACATGGCCTCATCATGTGTCCACTGTTAACGTGTAGATAACATGGCCTCATCATGTGTTCACTGTTAACGTATAGATAACATGGCCTCATCATGTGTCCACTGTTAACATGTAGATAACATGGCCTCGTCATGTGTCCACTGTTAACATGTAGATAACATGGCCTCATCATGTGTCCACTGTTAACATGTAGATAACATGTCCACTGTTAACATGTAGATAACATGACCTCATCATGTGTTCACTGTTAACATGTAGATAACATGGCCTCATGATGTGTCCACTGTTAACATGTAGATAACATGACCTCATCATGTGTCCACTGTCAACATGTAGATAACATGGCCTCATCATGTGTCCACTGTTAACATGTAGATAACATGGCCTCATCATGTGTCCACTGTTAACATGTAGATAACATGGCCGCATGATGTGTCCACTGTTAACATGTAGATAACATGGCCTCATGATGTGTCCACTGTTAACATGTAGATAACATGTAGATAACATGACCCCATCATGTGTTCACTGTTAACATGTAGATAACATGGCCTCATGATGTGTCCACTGTTAACATGTAGATAACATGTCCACTGTTAACATGTAGATAACATGGCTTCATCATGTGTCCACTGTTAACATGTAGATAGCATGGCCTCATCATGTGTCCACTGTTAACATGTAGATAACATGGCCACTGTTAACATGTAGATAACATGGCCTCATCATGTGTCCACTGTTAACATGTAGATAACATGTCCACTGTTAACATGTAGATATAACATTGTCGGTACAATAATGGACCTATTGTAATAGTACACTTTGTGTCAGACATGTGAGTGATACAGTCCCTGTGGACCATTTGTATCAGTACAGTTAGTGTCAGACTGGTGGGTTCTGTACAGTTAGTGTCAGACTGGTGGGTTCTGTACAGTTAGTGTCAGACTGGTGGGTTATGTACAGTTAGAGTCAGACTGGTGGGTTCTGTACAGTTAGAGTCAGACATGTGAGTGATACAGTCCCTGTGGACCATTTGTATTAGAACAGTTAAAGTCAGACTGGAGGGTACTGTACAGTTAGTGTCAGACTGGTGGGTTCTGTACAGTTAGTGTCAGACTGGAGGGTACTGTACAGTTACTGTCAGACTGGTGGGTTCTGTACAGTTACTGTCAGACTGGAGGGTACTGTACAGTTACTGTCAGACTGGTGGGTTCTGTACAGTTAGTGTCAGACTGGAGGGTACTGTACAGTTACTGTCAGACTGGTGGGTTCTGTACAGTTAGTGTCAGACTGGAGGGTACTGTACAGTTACTGTCAGACTGGTGGGTTCTGTACAGTTGGTGTCAGACTGGTGGGTTCTGTACAGTTAGTGTCAGACTGGTGGCTTCTGTACAGTTAGTGTCAGACTGGTGGGTTATGTAAAGTTAGAGTCAGACTGGTGGGTTCTGTACAGTTAGAGTCAGACTGGTGGGTTCTGTACAGTTAGAGTCAGACATGTGAGTGATACAGTCCCTGTGGACCTTTTGTATTAGTACAGTTGGTGTCAGACTTGTGGGTTTTGTACAGTTGGTGTCAGACTGGTGGGTTCTGTACAGTTGGTGTCAGACTGGTGGGTTCTGTACAGTTGGTGTCAGACTGGTGAGTTCTGTACAGTTAGTGTCAGACTGGTGGGTTCTGTACAGTTAGTGTCAGACTGGCGGGTTCTGTACAGTTGGTGTCAGACTGGTGGGTTATGTAAAGTTAGAGTCAGACTGGTGGGTTATGTACAGTTAGAGTCAGACTGGTGGGTTCTGTACAGTTAGAGTCAGACATGTGAGTGATACAGTCCCTGTGGACCATTTGTATTAGAACAGTTAAAGTCAGACTGGTGGGTTCTGTACAGTTAGTGTCAGACTGGAGGGTTCTGTATAGTTGGTGTCAGACTGGTGGGTTCTGTACAGTTAGAGTCAGACATGTGAGTGATACAGTCCCTGTAGACCTTTTGTATTAGTACAGTTAGTGTCAGACATGTGAATGATACAGTCCCTATTAATCTATTGTATTGCAGTTAGGGTCAACAGACTACACCAATAATTCCAATGGTAATTGTAAAGTCATTTTTAGACTTGCCTGACAAAAAGGATAGTTTCCTGTAGGGATGTCGGTTCACAATGGCTGTCTGTACGTTATACTTCTAATATCCCTTTCATTTGGTATATTTCTGTTGTTGTCATATGCAAGACATCGATAATAATAGGTATGCGTCTCAGCCTAAAACATCTAACAAGCTGCTGTAATTACTCATATCATTTCTCTTCTCCTTAATGAGTCATCCTCCTTCTTTCCTCCTTCTCAACAGGCTAGCGATCATTGTAGATGTCACTCCACCACTCTTGTCAATGCCAGTCTTTATAGATATTATCCAACAAAGCATTGAAATGGTGGGCTATTTAAATTGCCTCACATCTGTGATCAGTCATCGGCTGTCTGTCCGTCCATCCGTAAACAATTCTTTTTATTACTATTTATTGAGAGCCTGGTAAGACAAACTTGAAGTTTATCATTGCTTTTTTCTAGAAATAATGGATGGATCATTCTCAAATTTCTTCTAGAATTTTATATTGGGACTGATCTGAAAAACAAAATGGCTGACAAAGCAACCATTTTGGATTTTGACAGTTAAAGATTATTACCACATTTTTTTCCCAAGATGAGTTTTCAAATTTTATATAGTTAAGAGCAAGAGAACAGAGGAAAATTTAGACAGAAGCAGCCAACTTTTACACATTGGTGGGCTTCAAGATATTTTGTTTTCAAGCAGTTTGCAATGAGGAAGTTGAAGCAACAATATGATATTAGTGCTATCAATAAGGTTAACTGTAGTTTTCTTAGTTATTTGGCACAAGAAGAACTTATTTTACCAATGTTTTAAAGTTTGTTGTACTTTTCATCACTTGACTACGATTTATGAAGTAAAATCTGTAAGTAGTTATATATGTTAGCTTTAAAGTGTGATACAATGTATTAGACAGATCTTCACTGCTGAGACACAGTAAGTGAAACTAGCTCCGGTAATAACAGGTTAACTGTGTACTGTTACATCACTAATAACCATTACACATTTAGGGAGTTAGCTGTATAAAGACATAGTACTGCACAAAAAGTCATCACTCAGATCTTGTAAAATTTTGTGAAAATATCATATGTAACAGGAACATGATACATGTTAAGGAATGTAAGATAAGATAGTTTTCTACATGACTTCAAACTTCCTCCTTTATTTATAACGTTCCTTGTATTGTAGGGTAAGGACTTGTGTGAGCTTCGCCGACATACGTACGCCAATACTGTGGACTATCGTACAATAAAGAAGTTCCTTCAGCATATCTTTGTACCTTGTCATTGTAAAGCTGTACAGAAACTTCAACAACAGGCACAAAAGGTAAGTATCAGGTTAGTAGCTCAAGAGAATAGCTGGAGATTCCACTGGCCCAAACCTCAGATATTAGATATTTTGAATGGACAGTTGATTGTTGGAATAAAAGAACACTATAGCTATAGGCCGGAGATGTATATGAGGCTGAGATTAACTGCTCCCACACTGGTCCACTGAAAGGCTGAAATGTGGTAATACTGGATATAAAATCAATCAAATAGATAATTACTTCTGTGGTTCTTGTAGGATATCACATGACCATATTGACTTCTTGAAGGAAATGTATTGTCATTGAGATTTAGAGCTGAAGTATTATCATATTATTTAAGTTTGAAAATCATTTAAACAGAATTACAAGCAAAACACCAGAATGGTATTAACTTGATGCCTAGAATAGCCACAGATTACAACGACAGACGCCATGTTAGACATAACTTTGTCATGAAATTAACTTTTCACAGCTTTGTTATCAAACTTTATGAGGGACAAATCAAATTGATAGTGAGATTTTGATTCAAGTAATTACATTATCAAAATTAGAAAATCCTTTTAAACAAAGTAACATACAAAAGACTGAACTTGTATCAAGCTGAAGCCTTAAACAACGGTACACATCACAACCACGGTCACCATGTCAGAAAACTTTGCTGTGGAATTACTTTCTACAGCTTGGTCTATATTGAAGATATTTTGAAATGTAGTTAAGAAGGTACATACAAACACAAGAAAACCATATTGAAAACAAATGATAAATTAAAGAAGAGTTCATGTATTTTGTCACTAATAAATGGACTGAAATGCCACGACACATAAACACAGCATTGGACATTAAGATGTTTGATGTAATTTCAAAAACCAAATTCTGTGTAAAAGATGACTTAGTACAACATCACAACAAAGATGTTGCTGAAGAAACACCATGAAAAAGCTTTTAATTTAAAGGATACTCCATATCTACATTATGGTTCTGTCTTAAAGTCACATACATAATGGTTTCTAATGAATATCCAGTATGACAAAGATCCCACTTTTGGAACGCGTTTAGATCTCATACTACATATCAGTACCTACATTGTTGTACAGCTATTCTCGGACATTCAGTCATGGCTGACCAATGGTAGGACGAAGACGGAGTTTCTTATCTCTCTGTTTTATAGGTCTCTGGTTAGACCAATCAGAGAGCAACTAAGATGGATGTAGTGTCCTGGTGTACGAAGTATTGTTATGTTATACAAACATCTTATGTAAGAAGTGTACATAGTAATCACTTTGTGTGTCTTTATACACACCACCTATGTAAGGGTGTACATAGTAATCACTTTGTGTGTCTTTATACACACCACCTATATAAGGGGTGTACATAGTAATCACTTTGTGTGTCTTTATACACACCACCTATGTAAGAGGTGTACATAATAATCACTTTGTGTGTCTTTATACACACCACCAATGTAAGGGGTGTACTTAGTAATCATTTTGTGTGTCTTTAGTGTGTCTTTATACACACCACCTATGTAAGGTGGGTACATAGTTATCACTTTGTGTGTCTTTATACACACCACCTATGTAAGGGGTGTACATAGTAATCACTTTGCACGACAGGTGCATAAAAATATTTGGATGATAGAGAATAGACATAAGATTGTATGTTTGTCTTTGACCGTTGAGAAAAATAGCGTGACAGTTTGACACAATGATTTCCCTGCCCTGGGGGTTAGGAGGGTTGAGATGTTTAGATGTTTCTCCTTTAAAGCTTAACAATTGCTTTGTAAATATGTCTTCTTTGTAAGGTGTAGAGTAGTTGAGCAATTTATTTTAGGCCTATTTTGCCTCTTTCATATATAGGTCTTTATAGTCAGATGATCGTTAAGGCCCATGGGCCTCTTGTTCTTAGGATTCCTGTGTAGGTTTCTTTGCTCCTTTCAGTTGAGCTCTAGATAGATATGTTTGTTTAATTTTATCTGAATGTCTCCTTCGTTATATACAACGGGGAGCGTCAAGATCCCTCAGGGTCGGGGTTTTTTTTCTTCTTTAATTATTATGGTGACCTATAGTGATTGTTCTTCATCCGTCCAACCATCGTGCAGACTGTCTCATGCATTAACCTTTTCTTGTGATCTTGTGAATGTGATAGTTCGAGTAAATATATAGAGATTTCAATGAAACCTAGCCTGGAGCCTTATTTAAATAAGATCTCAAAAGAGTTTGACAAAGGGACCGCTATTTACAGAGGTATGGCTCTTTGAAGTGTTATTTCCATTGGCCGATGTGAACACAGTACCTTGAGTAAATATACACAGATTTTAATGCAACTCGGTATGCAGCCTCATATCAATTAAGTCTCAGATGAATAAGACAATAGAATGGAGTTGATAATATTTTACAGAGTTATGACCCTTTGCAGTTGTATAACTTTTGAACCTTGTGAACATGCTATCTTGAGTATAGTATTTTTAGGAAGATGAGCTGCTGCTTTTCTCCTTTGCAGTCAGACATACAGCTTATATCTAGACCCAAAAAAAAATCAGCAGAATGAAATAAGAAAAATAAGCGTATCGTCTGAACATTGGTTTCGGACCTTTATGTGTTTCGGAATGGTCATTTTGTTGAGGGGTGTCACATGCACTATTGATATCCAGGTCCTCGCACCCTGATAATTTTGGTCATGGTTCCAGAAAGAATACAAAATTGTGATTTAAACCAAAGATCCCAGTTCACCAGTACAAAATGTCAGTATCTAGTTTTTTTTTAAGTACCTTTCCATCACATATTTTTTCAATGAAACAGATTGTCTAGAACTGTTATTTGCAACCGTATACAGATTTTAAGATTGAAATAAAAATAACATGCTTGTGAATTTAATTAATCATACCTTTTGATATGAATGACAATGATATCTCCTGAACTTTCGTGGTTGCTTTGGAAGCCATAGCTGAAGTTTACAGCTGTTGCATCGGGTCAAATTCAAGAATGACCGCCATGCTTGTTTATGATAAGGAAGGCATCATGTAACATACAAGAAATAATATTGGACTGTAAGAAATTTGTCAGCATTCAAGGGCCTTCACTAGTATTTAACAGTACAGACATTGATGGAGATATTGTTCAGTAAACTGTACGTAACATCAGGCCCTTTATCTGTGTGTAAACAATCTTTGAAGGCTCCCAAGCCAAACAAGTCCAATAAAAGTTATTTCACTTTTTTGAAACACATCAATTAGATAAAGGATTATCTGTATATATTTGTAAACTAATATTAAATGTTTCACTGATGATCTTGATAAGTTGGCTTCCATTGTCTGTTATATCAATGAACTTTGGTCAACATAAGGATGCAGCTTATATTCTAGTGCTGCTAATATATGGATCAAATTGAAAAAATTGTTAAAAATTGGCTCTGAAGCTTATATACCAGTACGGTTTATAACCCAGAAAATATGATAGATATGATCATATGGTCGTGTATCAGTAAGATCTTCGATGTGTTTAACAATGGGACTCATTTCTTGTAACCTGCTGTGTTATTGTTCATTGTGAACAGGTGATTGTTTACTCATGTAGGCTTTTTGTTAATAGAAAAATTGTGTAGGTTCTTTATAAAAAACTTCATGTGTGCTTTCATTGAAATATTCTTACACAGTCATATTTTCATGCATTTTGATAAAATAATGTATTTCACTTTGTTATTGGTTGAGTGTGTATTGTTTTTTCTGAACATGAACCAAATTAAATATCATAATTTGCAAGACAAAATATAGTTCCTCTTGTATTTTCATAGGAAAAGGATGAATGTGAGAAAGCTGCACAACTTTGTGCAACAGACTGGGATGAAGAGGACATGCCAACACCAGGGGTAGACACCAGTACACCATTACCAGGGGGAGACATTGGCACATCAACACCAGGGGGAGACACTAGTACACTATTACCAGAGGGAAACACTGGCACACCTACACCAGGAGGAGCCACTGGCACACAAACACCAGAGGGAGACACCATCACAACAACACCAGGAGGAGCCACTGGCACCCAAACACCAAGGGGAGACACTGGCACCCCAACACCAGGGGGAGACACTGGCACACAAACACCAGATGGAGACACCATCACAACAACACCAGGAGGAGCCACTGGCACCCCAACACCAGGAGGAGACACTGGCACACAAACACCAAGGGGAGACACTGGCATGCCAACACAGCCTAGGGTCTGTGTAGGTCATGAAAGAGCCATGCCAATAGATGATACAGTCATGAGTTTGGATGTCAAAGAGGAAGGTGTGTTCATCAGACAAATATAGACATATAGCAAAAAAGGTCTAAAATCCTCAAGAGGTTCAGACGGAAACATTTATTGCATCAAGCTGTCAGGAACTTTGAACAATTAACATTAGTCACATCAAATGAGTTAGTAGATGTATACAACAAGAGTTGTTTTAAAGTACATACCAAAATGTAAAAGTTATGTTGGCAAAATTAGCTAATAAGTTTGTGTAAGAGGTGTAGCTGTGATAAAACTTTAGGCACAGGTGCTGAAGTCCACAGTACACTGTATTCATCATGATAAAAATGCAAGACCATCAAAATCTATTACGTTGTCGTATACAAAGTCAACCCTTTGGTTCTGAATCACAGAAAGTATTTGGGCCTGGACTTTCCAAGGTATGGTATCATATGTGGTCTTTTTTACCTCACAGAACTTAAATAGAGTTTGAAAGAAAAATTTTATGGCTTTCCTGACGTTTTGTTAGCCCACCATCATCAGATCAGTTTCCGTCCATCTGTCTGTTATCGCCATTTCTTGAGAAATATTGGATGCATCTTTCCCAAATTGCATATGTGGGTTCCGCTTGGTCTCTAGTTGTGCCCATATAATTTTGGGACTGATCAGAAAAACACAATGGCTTCCAGACGGCCATTTTAGATTATTGTCGCTATTTCTGCAAAGGAATGTTTAAATGTCATCATTAAGAGCTAAAACAGAGAAGAGAAAAGAAGGGAAAATAACTTTCAAAGAGGATATAAAGATAAAACAATGGTAGGTGCCAGAATCCCTCTGGGATCTCTTGTAATAGGTATTGAATTTATATATATATATATGTTTCACTAAAATTCTTAAAATTCATCATTAAATTCATAAACTGTACCAGGCAATTTTTTATTCACTTTGATAAATTTTAATGACTATCAGCAATGCATGTATATAATAATTCATTCACACATTACTCATTATAATGGTATATTAATGAGCTCGTTATCCTCACTAAACCAAGTTAGGTGGTTATCTTATTGGCTCCATACGTCTATGCATTTCGTTAAGATTAATACACAATGCATCATATCTATGAAACTGCTGAGCTTCTTGGAAAAGTACATGTACTTCTGTAACCCAATTAAGTGTAAGCTGGATGTAAAGCATCTGAAATCATGATAAAAATTTCTTGAGTTAGAAGGGTAAAATTCAATTTTCAACTAAGAAACATTAAATTTTGAAGGATTTTTAGAACTGGCAAGAATTTTTTCACTTTTTCAAATTTGCTTCTAGATGGCACATACAAGAAAGATTTATTTCTATGAATGTTAGTATGTTTCGTGACTAAGTTATATAACAAGAGTTAAAGTGCAAACATTGAGGTATGATTCTGTAGAATTTTTGTGATTGGATACGGGTAAGGCTTGAATTGTTCAATAATACAACGACCCCTGCTGTAATACACTAACTCTAGACTCCGAAATTATGTCTCCTCACTTCCTCAATTTTTCTGTGAAAACATGAGTGTATGCATGCATGCAGGGATCCATGGTAACTTTTGTACAAGATCTCTCATGAACCCCTGAACAGATTAGGTTCATATTTATATTACCAATGTCTATTCCTGATTCAATTTTGGTGGTCAAGGTCAAAGGCCAAAGGTCATCTTTGATCTTTTTGGAAATAAAAACCTTGTGAAGAAGATATATCATGAACCTCTAAACAAATCTAGAGAAATAAAGAATAATGATGAGAGTGAGCACTTGTTTCCTGATCCAGGGGTGGTGGTATATCTATGTAAGTCCCTGGTCACTTTAACATCCTGATCCAGGGGTGGTGGTATATCTATGTAAGCCCCTGGTCACTTTAACATCCTGATCCAGGGGTGGTGGTATATCTATGTAAGCCCCTGGTCACTTTAACATCCTGATAAAGGGGTGGTGGTATATCTATGTAAGTCCCTGGTCACTTTAACATCCTGATCCAGGGGTGGTGGTATATCTATGTAAGTCCCTGGTCACTTTAACATCCTGATCCAGGGGTGGTGGTATATCTATGTAAGTCCCTGGTCACTTTAACATCCTGATCCAGGGGCGGTGGTATATCTATGTAAGCCCCTGGTCACTTTAACATCCTGATAAAGGGGTGGTGGTATATCTATGTAAGCCCCTGGTCACTTTAACATCCTGATAAAGGGGTGGTGGTATATCTATGTAAGCCCCTGGTCACTTTAACATCCTGATAAAGGGGTGGTGGTATATCTATGTAAGCCCCTGGTCACTTTAACATCCTGATAAAGGGGTGGTGGTATATCTATGTAAGCCCCTGGTCACTTTAACATCCTGATAAAGGGGTGGTGGTATATCTATGTAAGCCCCTGGTCACTTTAACATCCTGATAAAGGGGTGGTGGTATATCTATGTAAGCCCCTGGTCACTTTAACATCCTGATAAAGGGATGGTGGTATATCTATGTAAGCCCCTGGTCACTTTAACATCCTGATAAAGGGGTGGTGGTATATCTATGTAAGCCCCTGGTCACTTTAACATCCTGATAAAGGGGTGGTGGTATATCTATGTAAGCCCCTGGTCACTTTAACATCCTGATAAAGGGATGGTGGTATATCTATGTAAGCCCCTGGTCACTTTAACATCCTGATCCAGGGGTGGTGGTATATTTATGTAAGCCCCTGGTCACTTTAACATCCTGATAAAGGGATGGTGGTATATCTATGTAAGCCCCTGGTCACTTTAACAACCTGATCCAGGGGTGGTGGTATATCTATGTAAGCCCCTGGTCACTTTAACATCCTGATAAAGGGGTGGTGGTATATCTATGTAAGTCCCAGGTCACTTTAACATCCTGATAAAGGGATGGTGGTATATCTATGTAAGCCCCTGGTCACTTTAACAACCTGATCCAGGGGTGGTGGTATATCTATGTAAGCCCCTGGTCACTTTAACATCCTGATAAAGGGATGGTGGTATATCTATGTAAGCCCTTGCTCATTTTAACATCCTGATCCAGGGGTGGTGGTATATTTATGTAAGTCCCAGGTCACTTTAACATCCTGATAAAGGGATGGTGGTATATCTATGTAAGCCCCTGGTCACTTTAACAACCTGATCCAGGGGTGTGTGGTGTTATGTGTTAGATCTGTTTGTGTTAAGCCCCTGGTCACTTTAACATCCTGATAAAGGGATGGTGGTATATCTATGTAAGCCCTTGCTCATTTTAACATCCTGATCCAGGGGTGGTGGTATATCTATGTAAGGACTGTGTTAGATTGTGATGTTTGATTCTGTTTGTGTTAGGACTGTGTTAGATTGTGATGTTTGATTCTGTTTGTGTTAGGACTGTGTTAGATTGTGATGTTTGATTCTGTTTGTGTTAGGACTGTGTTAGATTGTGATGTTTGATTCTCTTTGTTTTAGGGCTGTGTACACTGATGTGCTACCTAGAAAACCATTCTCAGATGTGGCTACAATCCATGTCCAACGTGTATGCTAACTGTCATATACAGTGTTATGGAGGCCCAAGTCAGCTACAGAAACTTGCAAAAAAGGTAATTACTTAATGTTAAGCAACTGTCATGTATAGAGTTACTGAGCCACATGTCAGCTACAGAAATTTGCGAAAAAGGTATTTCATTTCATTAATAATTACCATAACTTTAGTATGCATATATGGCACCTGCACTCATCTTTGTATCCCAAAAACAAAAGATTAAAAAATCCCGTCCTCCCTACAGTCCCACAAGCCATCATGGTAGAGAGTCAGAATGATCTCCATTCCTCTCTCCTTTATGGCGCTGCTGTGAGCTGACCTGACAGATGAGGAGGGTTGCCAAGAGGCTGCTGAAGCTGAGGCTCAGCATGTTCTTTCCCACCACCTTCGGCATTGTCAATTCCCGAGTTCACCACCATTTTAGGTTCTTTGGTGGCTCCTCAGGAGGCCGCTGGCTGGACTCGGGTTTTGGAGCAGAATTCTTCTTTTACCAAGTTCCCAGGTGTGCAGGACTGCAGCTTAACATTGGCAATTTATTGGCGGTTAACGCCAAATACTATGTGACACACGACGGGCAGCTTGCCTCTCAACCAGCAAGTCTATGAACCAGGCGGTGTTGAACTCCAAGGAACACCACAGGATGGAGAGATTGCTGTGTGTCTCCATCCGGATATTGTCATATATGACTGTTGGTCTATATCGGGTATCTAACTTGCCTGAGGGTCGGATATCGGAGACAGCAGGCCAACATCCAGGACAGAGTCACCTCTGATCTGAACACGGCATTGAGCGCACTGGCTGCGCTGCAGGTTTCTTTCCTTGTTGGCTAGGCATTTTTCAGTTCTGAAAAAGCACTCAGTCGAGGAACCCTACCACTCCCAATTGTTGAATGCCCCCTTCTCCGGCCCTACTCTTTTTGATGGGTTCACTACTTTCAAGGCAGTCTTCCTTCTGGCTTTGGATGTAGGAGAAGCAAAGTCCACACATCGTCATCACTTCCTTCCTGCTTTTGATTGGTCCAGAGGTTACGCTGCTGTAACTCACTTGACTGATCCTTCCTTCTTGGCGAAGAATCAGGTCCCTGGGTTCTTGACCGATCCCATTAGGATTCTGGCTTTGATTGGTCCAGCATTATAGACTGCTTTGTCTATGTCGGAAGAGTGAAAGTGTGGGCTCATGAGGTTAGGGCCCATGCCTACTGCCTTCTGGCGAGACAGGAACACCTTCACAGATTTCTATCTGAGGACCCTGGCCTCCCTCTCTGAAGGTTTGTATTCTTTGGGACCTCTTGTGAAGGCGCAGTCAGTAGCTGTGCCCCCTCAGTAGTCAGGGGTATGTCTTTCCGGTTACATGCCACATTGGTGCACCTACTCCTACATTGGGAGGTTGTATTCCAATTGATCTGGCACTCCTTTCCCACCCTACGTGGAATTGTTACTCTGGGTTCTGTGATGGGCTGCCAGGCTTAGAGTCTTCACTACAGTAAGACAAATTTGCATACTAAAGTTATGGTAGTTATAACTAAAATGAAATTGAAAATGAAATTTAGTTGGGCTCCAAAAGGTTTTTTCAAGAAGGGAGATCACTCTAAGTCTCTGCCATGATAGCTCATGGAACTGTAGGGAGGGCGGGATTTCAAACCTTTTGTTTTTGAGATACAAAAATGGATGCAGGTACCATATATGCATACTGAAGTTATGGTAAGTATTACATTATGAAAATTGGTTTTACATGAAAAACCTCAAATTACTTGATGAGAAGCAACTGTCATATACAGAGTTACAGATGCCCTAGTTAGCTACAGAAACTTGCAAAAACAGTAATTACTTCATGTGAAACAAACATCAAAAACCTGTCCTAGTCAGCTACAGAATCAAAGAATGGGTATACGTATTGCATTGTTTGAGTAAGAAAGGATTTATTACAAGTTAACAATAGCGAGGATGTAATAAGTTAAGAGTAATGAGAAATCATGAATTAATTGATTTACTGCACATTTCTCACATCTATCAAACCTAAAGAGTTATAAAAACAGCTCACCCTGTCAGCCCTTATACCAAACTCTGCTTTGTTTTCTGTAGAATTTATCTCTATCTGAATCAGTGAGTATTTCTCAGTTCGGGGACCTTGTAGTTGAGTATTCATATCAGTCTGTCATTATGCAATATAATGGATGAAAGAATTATTTTCATATGAAGGGAATCTATGGTTTTTTGGCATAAAAATCTGCGAAATATACCCGTCACAACATGTATAGTTATATATTAATATGTTGCTGCATACTGTACACCTGGAGCTGCTTGGACGTGAAAAAAAAATCTAACTGCTTGAGTGTCAAAAAGACTGGTGCGGCTTGGGTGTAAACAAAACACTTATCTTTGAAATAATTACAAGAAAACAAGAGTATTTTCAAAATTATGCATTTATTTACCAGTTGTATAAAGGAAATGATATGCATGCAGGCTGGTCTAGGTGGTTACAAAGTTCAGATATATCTCTTCCTGAAGATTCAAGAACTTCTAATTAAACATGATATTCACATAATCATTATTTGCAACACTCCTTACTTTGATGTTAATAATGGGGTAAATAATAATATGTCCACAATACTAGATCATATAGATAGTAACTAATACTACACAGATCAAGATTTATTTAGTAACATTAATTGTGATCAGATGGAGATTGTGTGAGGTCGACAGAACATTCTGATACAGGAGCTGAACCAACACTAGCACTTGATGAACTGGGCACTGCATCTACTACCCTCTTACTTCCACTACCTGAAACAATCAGTCTGTCCCTTTTTTTGGTGGTTTGACATCCAACGTATAATGGAAGATTTAGGACTGAAATCCTGTAGAGAAATACCCGCAGCATGGATTCTCATCAAGCAACCTAGCATACTTTGACTAAGAGATGTTCTGTAGCAAGATTTAATTCTATTCATGGCCGAGAAACTTCTCTTGCATTCAGCAGTGGAAGGTGACATTGTGAGCATGATTTGCACAAGAAGCAAAATATTTTTCAGTCCCTCATAATTACCAGACAAAAACTGTGAATAAATATCCAAAGGGTGCTTATTCTGTTGCTTAACTAACCTGAATTTCAGTTCATTCCATTCTTGCATGACATTTTCAGTGTCAGTCCCCTCAGAAAAATGACATTTAAACACTTCAAGAAGACCCCAAATTTCACATTTACCGTATTGGAACAACTGCCCTTTGTCCCTGGGAAGATCTCTGTGATCAAATATGGCAAAATGAGAAAAAGAGGGCTCTTGAAGTGTCTTGAACCTGCTACTTACATAATCAATCACTTTGTCTAGATAGCTCATCATCATTTTGTCTATGTTATCATCTGCATAAGAGCCTAGACGTGCCTGAGACAAGATAATTTCCTGTGATTCACTCTTGCCACAAAAAAATTTTCCACTGTCTGTACAGTATGAGGATTTGAACTTGGACAATGAAGCGCCAGGAGTATGTTTCAACTCCTCTGAACTCAGTAAGCACACCTCAAGTTTTGCTACAACATCTGTAATAATCATTCTGTTATCTTGAAACTGTTTACTAAGATCAGAAAGCTTTGCCAATACATCCTGCATGAAATACAACATTTTCACAAACCTCACAGACAAAATTTCTTTCAACATGCCTTTCACCTTAGCTGCCTCTTCACCCTTACCATTGCTAGCATTTTCCATATGAGAGACTATGATTGGCAGACTTTTAATCACGGCAGCTATTGCTCATAATCTGGAAGCTACCCATCTAGTTTTTTGCAAACCTGTCTGCTGAATTGGCATTTCATCAAGAATAGAAGCAATTTCCTTCATTTCCTTCCTCCTCTTGGGTGAATAGTAATAAAACTTGTAAATTTGATGTATGGTATCCTGAAACTTGGACATATATTTGATTGACTTAACTGCATCTGTAACACCCAACTCAAGTTTATGAGCAACACAATGAATAGCCACTATTGGATGTCCAACTTTTTCCTCCAGTTTCTTAGCAACACCTCCTCTCTTGCCTAACATAACTGCCGCACCATCAAAATTACATCCAATCAACTTCTTTTCTAACTCATTGGATTAGATTCCTACATTGTTCAAGCCCTCTACTATACCTTCCAGAACTTCTTCTGCATTAGCATGTTTTAACTGAACGACATCTGCAAACTCAGTACGTAAGCAACCATCATCAACAAACCTAACATAAACTGTTTCCTGCTCAATAACTGACAAATCCGTTGCATCATCTGCCAACACACATACTTCTAACGGTCCAGTCCCTTGCACCCTACTTTCATTCTCATTCACAGCCATACATCTCTTGTGCTTTTCAGACCTATTATGCCAATAGAGAGAATCTTCTATAAACGTACCACCCATTCCGCATCCGATATATATATTCGTTTAATACAAATCTTTTTTTGCTTTCACATTCACACCGCTGTGTGAATGCGTGGGTTTCCTTTTACATGTCTCAGTACTGCTACTGCTAGATCCAGCCGTTATGGCAGTCGTTATGGGGATGTTGTGTTGTTTGTTAGTAACAAGATTGTCTGTTAATTCTTGACCCTCTGACTCTTTATTTTTATTTTTTGAAGTGAAGAACGAAGTGAGTTTCTTCTGTTCCACCATCTTAGCACGACTTTGCTTGCTTGGTTACTAGCAAGCCTCGTTCTGAACTGATTGTTTCGAGGGTAAAATGGGTAGCGCTACCGATATATTGAACATGAAAAAATAAAACGTATTTTATTCTTGATCAATTGCGCAATGTCACTGATTATTAATTGCACACATTTCTGAGAAAATTTGAACGAAATTCTATTTGACTGTAAGATATAACTATTTTCAATGATAGGAAAGAAAAGTGTGAACGTTATTGTGTTTTTAGCAGCCATTGTGAACAAAGTTTGTGTGTACTACAAGTTTACCATTTATATCACGGCCATGTCGAGCGTTCACGGAACTTCGGAGTTTGACGTTTTATTTCTAGTTAATTGTCTATGAATTAAAGGAATGGGGACTTTGCACATTTTTTAATATGAATATTTGAATGCACAATCATGAGAACATTTTTTATCAAAACCAAGGCAGTCAAAACCACTCGTCCGGTGGACAAGTATGATAACAACCCTTACTCGTCCAACCAAAATTTTACTCGTCGTGCCCGGTCAGACAAGTGTTCGATCTGACCCCTGAAAAAGACTGTTGTTCCTTGGGTGTAAAGAAGACTTTTTCTGTTTCAGTGTAGAAAAATGACTGCTCCTTGGTTGTGAAAGAAGATTTTAGTTAATTACGTGTAAAAAAATACTTGTGCTGCTTGAGTGTAAAAAACACTGGCGTTTCTTGTGCATATAAAATTTGATGTTGCAATAAGTATTTTGTTGTAACTTGATAGATCTGCAGTCTTTGAAGTTGTCAGTGGAGTGGTGATGCTTTAAATGCGTAGATGTAATTAAGGATAAATAAGCAGATTAGACTGTTTAGCCCTTTTCTGACCTGCCCCACGGCTACGACAAACAGAATCACCATTGACAACCTGCTGTTGCTCTACTGGTGGTCTCTCTGTCAATCTTCATGAACTTTTCACCGGTTTTATATTTATATCAGTAGTATGCAGACAGCATGTTCTCATTGAGGTCCTCATATTCAGTTGTGCTAGGATAGCTCTGGTATTTACCACTGTTTCTTTCAATTTTTAAAAACCTATAGGAGTTTTTAACCCTCAAGAGTCTGTACACATATCTAGTAGTCTCCAGGAAAACAGTTGTAATATTACAGTATCAGATCTAAAGAGAAAGGAAACCTTTTGTTAATGGAAACATTTCCTACTGTATCACATATACAGATCAGAAACATTAGATTAAGAGAACGAAATGAAGCAATGTGATTTTTGTGTAAATGATGCTTCTGTCTGGTGATATAGAAATGAACCCTGGATTACCAGTAAAGGGATTAACTCCACAGACCAGGGGTGTCCCTTGTGCAACTTTAATACCTTTGTAATGTGAAAGTACAGAAATCTGTCAGCAGTCCTGGCGCAAACAATTCCTTGTAAACATCAGAAATACCATGCTTTGGATAAGAAATGTCATATTGACCATCAAAAAAACCATACTCAACATCAGAAATACTGTACTCAACATCAGAAATGCCATACTCAACATCAGAAATACTGTACTCAACATCAAAAATACCATACTCAACATCAGATATACCGTACTCAACATCAGAAATACCATACTCAACATCAGAAATGCCATACTCAACATCAGAAATACCATACTGACCGAACTCAACATTAAAAATACCATACTGACCAAACTCAACATCACAAATACCATACTAAACATCAGAAATACCATACTGACCAAACTCAACATCAGAAACACCATACTGACCAAACTCAACATCAGAAACACCATACTGACCAAACTCAACATCAGAAACACCATACTGACCAAACTCTACATCAGAAATACCATACTGAACAAACTCAACATCAGAAATACCATACTGACCATACTCAACATCAGAAATACCATGCTGACCATACTCAACATCAGAAATACCATACTGACCATACTCAACATCAGAAATACCATATTGACCATACTCAACATCAGAAATACCATGCTGACCATACTCAACATCAGAAATACCATACTGACCATACTCAACATCAGAAATACCATATTGACCATACTCAACATCAGAAATACCATACTGACCATACTCAACATCAGAAATACCATACTGACCATACTCAACATCAGAAATACCATATTGACCATACTCAACATCAGAAATACCATACTGACCAATATCAACATCAGAAATACCATACTAACCAAACTCAACATCAGAAATACCATACTGACCATACTCAACGTCAGAAATACCGCACTGACCAAACTCAACATTAGAAACACCATATATCAGCTCAAATGATATACTCTCTGGTTTGGTGACAGTTGTATTGAGAATCCTGGTGACCAGAATTAGTCTGGACCTAGATTCTTACGTGACAATATACCAAAGGGTGTCTCCTTTATAGCATAGGTCCCTCTTCATTTCAGAGCTGAACTGTTGTCATACATATATAAATAATCACTCTTTAAAGGTCATAGGGTATATATTAATTGTTTGTTTTGTTTGTAACACAAACCTTATATCTAAGACATCTCTGGAACCTCTCCATAGATATGCTTCTTAATTATTCTTACCATTGCATCACACAACCAAGTACTCCTGATAAGCATTTGATGATTATTGGTCATAACTAAAAGGCTTACACACTAGATATCTCATGAAGTCTTCATCAGAAATTATCACCACACCATAGTATTATATCATCACGTTCTACGCTAAGGAATATAACTTTGAAAAGAAAAGATTCCTAAGTATGAAGAGAGGTTAAAGAAAGAACAATGACCTTATGTAATACTTCAGATTAACATATACCCTTGATATTGCAGTGTCCACCTATTGCTGTGGCAATAGCAAAGGCGAAGAAGAATGGAAAGTCATTCCGTGACACCAACAGTCTGTCATTTTCTGTTGTGGAGATCAGTGACAGTATGGGCTGGGCATCAGCACCAGTCAAGCAGGAGCTGAAGACACTTGCATGGGACTTCAACAAACCAGGTACTGACTTGGACTGTTGGGCAGACCCTTAACTATGTTTGGCATTGTGACACTATTATAGTCACGTGGATATATACTTGTTTGGCTACATCACACTGGTATGTTTGAGTATATCATGCTGGTATGTTTGACTATATCATACTGGTATGTTTGACTATATAACACTGGTATGTTTGACTATATCATACTGGTATGTTTGACTATATCATACTGGTGTGTTTGACTATATCGTACTGGTATGTTTGACTATATCATACTGGTATGTTTGACTATATAACACTGGTATGTTTGACTACATAACACTGGTATGTTTGACTATATAACACTGATATGTTTGAGTATATCATACTGGTATGTTTGACTATATCATACTGGTATGTTTGACTATATAACACTGGTATGTTTGACTATATCATACTGGTATGTTTGAGTATATCATACTGGTATGTTTGACTACATAACACTGGTATGTTTGACTATATCATACTGGTGTGTTTGACTATATAACACTGGTATGTTTGACTATATTATAATGGTATGTTTGACTACATAACACTGGTATGTTTGACTATATTATAATGGTATGTTTGACTATATAACACTGGTATGTTTGACTATATAACACTGGTATGTTTGACTATATTATACTGGTATGTTTGACTATATCATACTGGTATGTTTGACTATATCGTACTGGTATGTTTGACTATATCATACTGGTATGTTTGACTACATAACACTGGTATGTTTGACTATATTATACTGGTATGTTTGACTATATAACACTGGTATGTTTGACTACATAACACTGGTATGTTTGACTATATTATAATGGTATGTTTGACTATATAACACTGGTATGTTTGACTATATTATAATGGTATGTTTGACGTATGTTTGACTATATAACACTGGTATGTTTGACTATATTATAATGGTATGTTTGACTATATAACACTGGTATGTTTGACTATATAATACTGGTATGTTTGACTATATTATACAGGTATGTTTGACTATATAACACTGGTATGTTTGACTATATCATACTGGTATGTTTGACTATATAACACTGGTATGTTTGACTATATTATACAGGTATGTTTGACTATATAACACTGGTATGTTTGACTATATAAAACTGGTATGTTTGACTATATAATACTGGTATGTTTGACTATATAACACTGGTATGTTTGACTATATCAAACTGGTATGTTTGACTATATAACACTGGTATGTTTGACTACATAACACTGGTATGTTTGACTATATTATAATGGTATGTTTGACTATATAACACTGGTATGTTTGACTATATAACACTGGTATGTTTGACTATATTATACAGGTATGTTTGACTATATAACACTGGTATGTTTGACTATATTATACTGGTATGTTTGACTATATAACACTGGTATGTTTGACTACATAACACTGGTATGTTTGACTATATTATAATGGTATGTTTGACTATATAACACTGGTATGTTTGACTATATAACACTGGTATGTTTGACTATATCATACAGGTATGTTTGACTATATAACACTGGTATGTTTGACTATATTATACACGTATGTTTGACTATATAACACTGGTATGTTTGACTATATTATAATGGTATGTTTGACTATATAACACTGGTATGTTTGACTATATAATACTGGTATGTTTGACTATATTATACATGGTATGTTTGACTATATAACACTGGTATGTTTGACTATATAACACTGGTATGTTTGACTATATATGTTTGACACTGGTATGTTTGACTATATAACACTGGTATGTTTGACTATATTATAATGGTATGTTTGACTATATAACACTGGTATGTTTGACTATATTATACAGGTATGTTTGACTATATAACACTGGTATGTTTGACTATATTATACTGGTATGTTTGACTATATAACACTATATAACACTGGTATGTTTGACTATATAACACTGGTGTGTTTGACTATATCATACTGGTATGTTTGACTATATTATAATGGTATGTTGTGACTATATAACATGTTTGACTACATAACACTGGTATGTTTGACTATATAACACTGGTGTGTTTGACTATATCATACTGGTATGTTTGACTATATCATACTAGTATGTTTGACTATATCATACTGGTGTGTTTGACTATATCATACTGGTGTGTTTGACTACATAACACTGGTATGTTTGACTATATAACACTGGTATGTTTGACTATATTATAATGGTATGTTTGACTATATAACACTGGTATGTTTGACTATATTAACTGGTATGTTTGACAATATCATACTGGTATGTTTGACTATATATCACTGGTATGTTTGACAATATCATACTGGTATGTTTGACTATATAACACTGGTATGTTTGACTATATAACACTGGTGTGTTTGACTATATCATACTGGTATGTTTGACTATATCATACTAGTATGTTTGACTATATCATACTGGTGTGTTTGACTACATAACACTGGTATGTTTGACTATATAACACTGGTATGTTTGACTATATAACACTGGTGTGTTTGACTATATCATACTGGTATGTTTGAGTATATCATACTGGTATGTTTGACTATATCATACTGGTATGTTTGACTATATTAAACTGGTATGTTTGACAATATCATACTGGTATGTTTGACTATATATCACTGGTATGTTTGACAATATCATACTGGTATGTTTGACTATATAACACTGGTATGTTTGACTATATCAAACTGGTATGTTTGACTATATCATACTGGTATGTTTGACTATATCACACTGGTATGTTTGACTATATAACACTGGTATGTTTGACAATATCATACTGGTATGTTTGACTATCATACAGGTATGTTTGACTATATAACACTGGTATGTTTGACTATATCACACTGGTATGTTTGACTATATAACACTGGTATGTTTGACTATATAATACTGGTATGTTTGACTATATAACACTGGTATGTTTGACTATATTATACACGTATGTTTGACTATATAACACTGGTATGTTTGACTATATTATAATGGTATGTTTGACTATATAACACTGGTATGTTTGACTATATCATACTGGTGTGTTTGACTATATCATACTGGTGTGTTTGACTATATAACACTGGTATGTTTGACTATATAACACTGGTATGCTTGACTATATAACACTGGTGTGTTTGACTATATCATACTGGTATGTTTGAGTATATCATACTGGTATGTTTGACTATATCATACTGGTATGTTTGACTATATTAAACTGGTATGTTTGACAATATCATACTGGTATGTTTGACTATATAACACTGGTATGTTTGACAATATCATACTGGTATGTTTGACTATATAACACTGGTATGTTTGACTATATCAAACTGGTATGTTTGACTATATCATACTGGTATGTTTGACTATATCACACTGGTATGTTTGACTATATAACACTGGTATGTTTGACAATATCATACTGGTATGTTTGACTATCATACAGGTATGTTTGACTATATAACACTGGTATGTTTGACTATATCACACTGGTATGTTTGACTATATAACACTGGTATGTTTGACTATATAATACTGGTATGTTTGACTATATAACACTGGTATGTTTGACTATATTATACACATATGTTTGACTATATCATACTGGTGTGTTTGACTATATCATACTGGTATGTTTGACTATATAATGCTGGTATGTTTGACTATATCACACTGGTATGTTTGACTATATAACACTGGTATGTTTGACTATATAATGCTGGTATGTTTGACTATATCACACTGGTATGTTTGACTATATAACACTGGTATGTTTGACTATATAACACTGGTATGTTTGACTATATCATACTGGTATGTTCGACTATATCATACTGGTATGTTTGACTATATAACACTGGTATGTTTGACTATATCATACTGGTATATTTTGCCTAATCACACTGGTGTGTTTGTTATGTTTGTCTTGATGGCACTGTTCTGTTTGCCTCAGTATCATTGTTCTGTATTCATAGGTGTCACCATTATATTTGCCATGGTGTCACTGTTCTGTTTTCATAGAGGGCACGGTTCTGTATTCATAGGTGTCACTGTTCTGTTAGCCTTGGTGTCACTGTAACATTCTCTATACCTAGAAATGAGACACACAAGCTGTTGTGTCTTGTAATATGATTGTTTGTTGGTTTTAGTCTCTAAAGGCTAAGTGAGGTATAGGGATACCATGACATCTGTCATTTGTCATCCATTGTCTGTCGTCTGCCAACTGTCTTTCAACTTTTTCTACATGTCGCCAATGGTTATGAACAACTCAGTGGATTTTACCCAAATTTGTTCTGAAGCATCCTTGGAGGAAAGGGAGTGAAATTTGTTTAAACATATGGGTCTTTACCTCATGGGGAAGAAGGGATTGGGCCCAATAAGGGACATTAGGCAAATTCTTTAAAATCCTACTACTCCTGCAGGAATGATTGGATTTTGCCTAAATTTGATAGGAAGCTTTCTTAGGAAAAAAGGAATCAGTTTTATATAAGCGTTTGGTCTCGGCCCTTGGAACAGGAGTTTGAGGCCCAATAAAGGAAATAGAGCAAATTCTTGGAAATCCTTCTCCTCTTAAAGGAATTATTGGATTTTGCCAAAATTATGTTTGAAGCATTGATGATGAAGAGGAATCAATTATGCTAGGTGAGCAGTACAGGTCTTATTGGCCCCTTCATCTACTGTGATAATTTCCTGTGTCTTGTGACATGATCTTCATTATTGATATTTGTATTGTGATGTGTGAATGAACAGGGAAAGCTACATATTCCTGCTGAATGTCCTAACAGAAACTCAACCCTTACCTCATATCTAACACTATACTAACAACCACCCCTTCTTGCATTTGACATCGATGATAAACACGAGACACCTGAGTGATGAGGATGACCTCCAGTAAGTTTTTGTGAACTACAGCTATTAGTCTTTGATCACTATATAGGGTGATTAGCGT